GTTCCTGCTGCTTTTCTCACTTCATTTTGCAGCACAGCTGTTTTAAACTTCCTAAAAGGATTCAAGGCTGATCAGCTGGTATTTATTGGCTTCAGAGAATATGCTAGCAGTACATACTTTTGATGCTTAAGAAAAAAGCCATGTTTGTTATTAAACAGTTTTAGAAAATGTTTTAACTAGATTTGAGAGGGTGACAAATGGCTTCTTTAAGAAAATGAACTTTAAAGGAAGTTTTTCCTATTTCTTAAAGGAATGCTTCTTTTGAAAAGATCGGATATATAAACTTCTCAAAGAGCCAGTATGCCAAAAATGCTTTTGTTACTTCATTGGCTACTTGAGATTTCTCTTTTAAGTAACTCCCAAAAAGAAGACAAGAGGGGAATATGTTTTCTCAAGTGGAACTTTTTCACTTGTGAAAGGTGAAGGGACAGAGAGGGTGAAGCCCAAAATATACTGAGTTCTGCAAAACAGTATCTTAGGAGAAACAGTAGAAGCTCCCTTCACTTCTCCTGTCTGTTGGATTCTGTTTTTACTAGCTGGTACTGCCAATTTTGCAACTATTCATATGATGAATTTCAAAAAGCCCCTGAACAACAAGAAGAAAATTAAAAGGGTTCAACTATTACTCACATTACCCTACATACTGAGTTCAAGTGCTAAACAATAAAGAGAAATCATGATGTACAAATCCAAATTACATGGGAACTGATTGTCCATCCTAATTAAATCCTTAATCCTTAACACCTGAGTGTGTTCAGTGTTTTTATGTTAAGCCTATGTGCTTTTAATGACCTATGCTTTCTATTCATATGAAGAGAATACATTTTCCTTTTATCTTCCTCAGATTTTTTTTTTCACACTCAGCATTTTATCAAGTTAATCTTTTCACATACATAAGTGAAAGGCCTTAATTACACCAGTTTTCATAAGACCAGCAACACATAATAGAAACTATGAAAACCCATGGGGTCTAACATGCTTAATTGACATGAATAACACAGACAATAAGCCACTCTAGGGCCAATGGGTTAATGCTTTTCATACAATATTGGAAATAGATGAAAATCATAGAACCATTTAGGCTGAAAAAAACCTCTAAGGTCATTGAGTCACTGCCAAGCCCATCATTAAACCATGTCCCTAAGCACGACATCTGCACCACCCTCTGCAACGGTGATTCAACCACTTCTCTGGGTAGCATGTCCCAATGCTTGCAGCCCTTTCTGTGAAGAATTTTTTTTCTAATATCCCATCTAAAATTCCCCTGGTACAACTTGAGGCCACTCCCCCTTGTCATACTTCTTGTTAGTTGGGAGAAGAGAATGACCCTTACCTCATTGCAGCCTCCTTTCAGGTAGCTGCAGAGAGCAGCAAGGTCCCCCCTGAGCCTTCTTTTGTCCCAGCTAAACAACCCTAGTTTCCTCAGACACTGCTCACAATACTTGTGTTCCAGACCCTTCACCAGTTCCTCTGAACACACTCCAGCCCCTCGATGTCTTCCTTGTAGTGAGGGAGCCAAAACTGGTCACTGGCCTTGAGGTGCAGCCTCACCAGTGTCAATCACAGGGATCACTGCCCTGCTCCTGCTGGCTCCACTATGGAGGACACAGGTCAGGATGTTATTGGGCCACCTGGGCACAGCTGGCTCACATTCACCTGCTGGTGACCAGCACACCCAGGTCTTTTTCTGCTGGGCAGTTTTCCAGCCCCTCTGTCCCCAGCCTGTAGTGCTGCAGGTTGGGTTTGTATGGCCAAGCTTTGGTAGCAGGAGGGGCTACAGGGGTGGATTCTGTGAGAAGTTGCTTGAAGCTTCCTCCATGTCCAGCAGAGCCAATCTCTGGCAGCTCCCAGGATAGACATGCCTCTGGTCAAGGCTGGGCCAGTTAGAAATGGTGATAACCTATTTAAGAAGAAGGAAAAAAAAATGTTATTGCACAGATGTAATTGTGGCCAGAGAAGAACAGGGTGAGACTATGTGAAAGGAACAGCTCTGGAAACACCAAAGTCAGTGGAGGAGGAGGAGGTGGTCCAGAGCTGAAATTCCCCTACAGACCATGGTGCAAAGCATGAAGCACCTGCAGCCCATGAAGGACCATGGGAATGCAGAGATCCACCTGCAGCCTGTAGAGGAAACCCCCCTGGAGCAGGTGGGTGCTTGAGAGAAGGCTTGAGAGATCCCATGGTCTCTAGCCATCATATCACCAGCCCTCTGTTCTCAAACACCAGGTGCAGGGGCACTCTCCCTAGCTGGCTCACTCACCAGTGTGCAGAGAAGCTATCTTTCACACACTCCAGAAACCTCCTAGGCTGTTATTAATCAAGCCTTTTGGCAGTCTTTGAAATATAAACCATGGCTCTTTCTAAGGAATACTGCAATCAAACTTAAATGACACACTTGAAGGCACTGTGCACTCTCAAATATGGATTGAGTATGGGGAAAGAACAATCCAGACCTGGTATAATGCTCCTGGGTGTTGCACACATTGAACCCCACTCTTTGGAGCTTTTCTTCTTATCCTGGGAAAACCCTGAGTGGTCCCTGTGGGATACCAGTCTTGGCAGGGAGAAAGGGCAGTGTAAATCCTGAGTTTTCATTAGGAAAATCCTGCAATATTTTCTCGTTTCCCTCTTAAAGAGAGCAAAGAACAGCACAGGATTTAATTAAACATGAGGAAAAGGGGTAGAAATGAAATCTGGTATTGAGTCCTCTGCTTTAAACTATGTGAAGAAGGTCTAGCCTCCTTTGGATTTATTTTAGAGAAAAAGATTGGGCTGTAGTGCTGGGAAGGAAACATACATTTGCTTGTCTCCTAGTTATGAGAGAGAGAGAATGGGGGAATGGATACAAATGAAATATGTTCTTCTCCCTATTTTTTGTCTTTAAAACATCTTGCTAGCATACTTATGGCTCATTAACATATTTCTGACTATAAGGTTTCCATTGGAATCTGTGGAAAGTCTCTGATTATCTGAAATCCAAAATGGTTAATTCACAATTACTGGTTTATAGTATGTTCATTACATAGTGACAGTTCATTACATAGTGAACATAGTAAGTTCATTTCTCCCTTTTTGTTGTTTGTTTTCTTTCCTTAAATGATGAGTCACATATGTTTACGTAGCTCCAGGCAAACACAAGAGCTTGAATGAAAAACTCAGTCCCAAACCCTCTTCTCTCCTGGTTAAAACTGCTCAGTCTCGGTAAGCCAAATGGTAGAGTGGAGTTATTACCACCTTTTTAGGGAGGAAATTTGTGCAAATATACAATTTTATTATAGCCATATGAAGCAATGTATCTAGTGTGAAATTAAATGTAATTATGTACTGTCTATGAAATGCTTGAACATGAAGCAATTACTTTTGTTTGGAGTTATTTAACTTCAAATGCAAAAGGGATCAAAATATACTTCCTGGTTGAATTCCCCACTTTTTTTTTTTTCTTTCCACAATATTCAGTATAATGAATCAATCTTCCTCAATACAAGAATGTAAATCTTAAATTTAAGTAAAATGTATGGAAGTTTTCTCCCTCAAACTACTTACATTTTTTACCCTTGTACATTTCTTGGGTTTTTAGAGAAAAAGCAACAAACAGATTTCCAATTTTCAGCTTTAACTTATTAATGGTCAGTTTTCTCCTATTTATTCTGGTGCCAGCATTGTTTTTCCCTCTCTAGTACTGAGCTATTCATATTTTATGAGGAAGAGTCATGTCCCTTTTTAACCTTTGTTTTATTATATTAAATAAGTCTTTTTCATATGATAGGTTTATTCTTTCCTTACTTAACTTACTAAACCACAAATTCTCTTATTATGTTTATTGTAAAAATATTTTCGGAGAAACCCTAGGATTTATAGGCTTTTTTCAAACTTATAGTGCACTAGGAATGGGCTAATTGTTTTCCTCCTAAATATTCCTACCTGCTAACGTCTTATCTACTGTTGTGCAAGAGTTTGGGAAATTGTGAAACAGTGATTCATCCAGATGTTCCCAGATATTCCTAATCTGATCAAACTAAAGGTTATCACATCTCTTCCCAGTCTTTGTTGTTCTTCCTTTACCTGCAATACCTTTTACCCCAGTAACTGTAGAAATGTTATTATATGAGCTCAAATTCACTGCCTAAAAGTAGTAAAAAAAATCAGCAGAGAAACTCATTCCCTCCACATTCTTCAGAGAGCTCTAAATCAAATTATTTGAGCACAGTTAAATTATAAATTCATGCTCTTAATTGTTGCCTTGAATGAATCATGAAGGTTGCAGTACCCTGATTGCTCAAAATTAGATCTGCCAATATAACCACACATGGTGTAGCAACTGCACTGTATGGCTTACTAACAATTCAAAAGAGATTTCAAAATTTTCAAAAAGATATCAAATAGATTACTTCATTATTATTTCTGTTATGATGATCTACATTTTTCTTTCTTCTTTATTTTATTTTAAATTGCCTGGCATTCACCTCAACCTAATTCTTGACTTTAGAGAAGTGCTCAGAAACTATAACAGCTTTTTACTCAGAGGTGTATATATATTTTGTTCATGACCATTCAAAAAAGTTATTTTTGAAGTTTCAAAAAACTACTCCAAATCCTTCTGTAAATAACCCAAAGCTTTCTATATGTCTATGGTTTAAATGAGTAAAATATATTTCTCTCTCTAATGTCTGTGATCCCATGTGATCTTTTGTCTGATGTGAAATGTATGAATTATTGCTTTACTGATAATTCTTGAAATAATGGTTGTACAAATCCAGAAATCTATGCTTTGGAGAGACCTAATTTAAAATGTTCTTTTCATTCATTTATTTCTCCAAGAGGCATGAAAGTATTTATTCTTCAACAGAAGAATTAAATGAGTATATATAAAGGTTTATTTGAGCACAAGGTTTTATGATTATTACTAAAGTGAATAAACATAATTAGCCTCATAGTATATTTGAGCATTTAGTCTATATGTTTGTAAATGAATTAATGTGGACATTTTATCTTTTAAGTACAGAAGAGAGGAAATAAGGTTACATTCTCCAATATGTGCAAAAGCTATCTCCTATGAGAGCACTATGATGGTAGACAACATTATGGTAAGTTAACATTATCTAGCAGAATATGATAAAAAATGCATATTTTGAGGTGTTGAAGTCAGGGATGTAGCTTACAAGTTGGAGTATGAATTTTACAGCTTACAGATAAAAATGAGACATTTTAGGGAAAGAAGGAGTTACTTTGGGAAGAGATCTATGACATCTGTCCTTTGTCCTGCAACCGCACTACAGAGAAAGCATGTAATCTTACAATAAAGCCTACAGAAGTTACTAAATGTCTTTCTATCAGAAAATTTATTTGACAATAAATAATAAGGATAATTAAGTTAATATTTTATTTTTACTATGCAAACATACGCTATATGTGATAAATATATTACATTTAACAATTTTAATGTGCTGATTTAAAAGGAGAAATCAAATTTCAAGTGTTTCATAGACCTGATTTTATTAGTACATTTTATCTAATAATTTACAATAATTTATATGACATTATGTGTCAGTAATTGGCATAGTACTTTAAAGAAAAACTTTACATCTGCACTGAGTACCGGAGTTTAATGTCAAGAAAGATGCAATAAAACAGAGAAAACTAAAAAGAGTCTTTCCCCTTCTAATAAATCCAGACAGAGTTCTGTTTCTGTTCCAGTGACATCAGAGCACTGGACCGATACCAAGTCACTCTAAAAAACGCTTTTAAGAAACATCTCTCTACTCTTTGCAGACACAAGATGTAAGAATACATCATATAAGAATACATTTTAGAGCAGCAAATCAAATAAATAAGCAATTAAACATTTTCCCACAAACTAGAATCAGAACTGCTTATGTTGTTCCTTGATTTATGGGCATGAATTGAAATTTCCTACAAAACAAGCCATTGTGTCTACTTTTACAAGCTAATGAGCAGCGTGTGACTGTTTCTTCTATTTCTTAAGGCTATAAAAAGTTTCATTTAAAATACTTTGTTTATGGCATGTCACATTTCATTCCATATGTGCTTATGCTGGGCTGTATCATATCAAGATGACTTCTAACTGCAACACAAAACAGAGCAAGCCAATAGGCTAATATCTACCATCTTCTCCCTTTCTGTGCTTTCTTACAAGATTTAAGTAGATTTGATTTTTAGTTCTGTCTAGAGGACACCTTTGGGTGCATTTGGTATGAGTATATCCAAGTTCTGCTGGCTTCAACAAGAGGGCTGAGAGATTTGCCAGCCCTAATGCTCATGGGTCCTCTGCTGGAACTTGTCAACTTTTCACTTGCAGTGACTTCCTAATTCATTTTAGCCAAATGAGTTAGGTTAGGAAGGACCTGTTGCTTAAATTATTATGTTTGATTTTCCTGAAGCACTTTATAGGGCTTTCAAAAATGCAGTGCAGGTGAAAATGGTGATTTTCCAAAGGGAAGCAGGGATCCAGATGCCTCAGGGAGGTAGTGTGCTAATGCAGCTGCTGACTGTGGAGGGAGAAGATATGTAAGAGATTGTGAATACCCATTAGGCATAAAACAGTTTCAGAAATCCCATCACATTCATATTTACATAAATTATTGCAATTAAAATTTTGTGTTCATATGCAAATACTTCCTTCAGTGGGACTATACTAAGATGTTTAAATAATTTTGTGAAGAGCCATGAAGAGTCCTTGACAGGCAAAATAAATTTGCTCAAGAACAATTATCCAGAACTCTATGTTGTTCTCCTCAGTCCAGTATTCTAGGGTGACAGCACAGTGCAAACATTATTTTTTTCAAAAAGGTGTCTTTAAATATTTTTTTTTTTTATAAGGAAAGATAAAACCCCAGAATACTAGGGGACTAGCCAATAGGTGCAAAATTTTCCTTAACCATATTTTTTTTTTCTTTTTTGTTATTATTCCGGCTGTTGTGATAGCGGATGGGAGGTTGCAGCAGAGAGAAGCTTGTCTGGATTTTTAAAGTATATGTTTTTTTTACCACAGGCCCTGTTCCTCATTTTACAGTAAGATATTCCATGTGCATAACTCCTTGGTCATGCCTTTGAAATTGCAATGATTTGACAGCAAAAAACTAGCATGACTCAACCGCATTTTAAATCTACCTCTGCTGAATATGGAAGTTATCACCATTGTGAGGGAATTCATATCCCTTGCTGCATACGTTCACTGTTTCACACTGGTAGATGATTTGCCTCACTTTTTTTTTTTTTTTTTCAACCCATAAAATGTCTGTGTCAATTTGCAGTTCAAAAGAAACCACACTATTAGAATTCTTTTCAGCTTGTCTTTATTTTTAGTTTTAGACTAACTAGTGCCTCGTAACTCAGAAAAACGAATTCCAGACATGAATTTTGCACACACATTTTTCTTATTTTCCATTCATATTTACTCTTTCTAGTAATAACCAGTTTTTCTTTTTAGATGCTCATCAGTTCACAGAAGATTTTAAACTCTTAAAGATGAGACAATTCTATGAAGATTCATGCATAAATATGTCTTTTTCCCTACAGGATCATATTGATCTTGTTGGAGGCACATCCGAAATGCTGTCACTGTTATAGTAAAAGTATGGAGAGCAATGACAGCTGTATTTCTGGTAGTGCATTATTACAGTTTTGAAGGATAATCATCCTGTAATAAATGTGTGTCATCAGTAAAGCTGCCACAAACACCAAAAATGATCTTAGCATGGTCTTTCCTGATCTTTCAAAACTGAGGGGTCTGGCTTCTATTTTGTTCCTCCTTTCAAATCAAAATAAATTTGGAAAAAGAATTTTGAAACTTTCGCTATCTCTGGCATACCAGTAATTTTCTCTTTTGTATCAAAGTTCAAGCAATCAGAATTAAACTGGCATTAAAAAAAATTCTCAATTCCTCAAGCCAACCCCAGAACGCTTATTATTTTTCCTAGCCTAAAAAGTTCCCTGAGTTCTTCCCATTCCATCTTCTTCCAAACAAAAACGGAATCAACCAAAAATGTCCAAAGAACTGAGAATCTCAAGCTGTGAGTAGCTGAATGAAGAATTCTCCAAGCAAGACGAATGAACTTAAATGTCATTGAAACATATGGTGAAACAGTTTTCATGACGTGCCTGATTCCAGACCCATTAAAGGGAGCTGTTCCACTGACTTCATTGGGTTTGAATCAGGCACTGTTAATGGTGCTTAAAAAATGGTTTTAAAATCAATGCCAACTAGTGGGGCTCCTTTCCAAATGAATGTGATCTGTTTTGTCCAAGAAAGTTAATTTATTCTCAATTGGACGCCCAGTTTCACACATTCAAGTCTTCCCATGAACATTCTGGGTTAGACCTTCAGTTGGCATGTATCAGAGAAATTCCATTAAGGTCTATATGTCTGTGACAATTTACATCTGGACCATACTTTTGCAACCTATGCTCTAAATCTTTGGAGATTTTCTCATCATGTCTCACTGTATTTTTCTTGTTTGGTTTTTAAAGTATCAGTTGAAGTGAAACACCATGTCCAGGAAAACAGCCTGAACTGAACTCCTTTCTATATGTGAAGAAGGAAAGTGGAAATTAATTCATAGTCAATGTACATGGAAAAAATTTTCAGGAGAAATCTGGATATCAAATTTTCTTCACTAAAATTATTTCATGCAAAGACAATAAACCTCAGACAGAAACTTTTTTTGTGTATGTATTGACAAAAATATTGACCACTCCTTTCTGGTTTGTTTCACCACGACAGATCTCTGATGGGATAAGTCAGCAGAATGTGAACCTCACATAAATATCAGATTGCTGCAAAGAGAGATAAAACCTTGTGTTGCAGAATGCAGCTTTGCTTGCCTCAGGTAGGTGGGTTTCTGCTTTGTTTGTTTTTTAATACAACATTAATAAAAACATTGTTATACTATAAAAACAATAAACATTCTTTTTCTCTTTTCCAATTTAAAAATATGTCTAGACAAGAAATAAAAGCTGCTCATAACTTTGGAAGCCAGTCCTTAATTTATTCTAAGAAGTTGTCTCGTAAATACACATCTGTTTCATTCTTTACAAGTTAGGAAGCAAAAGAATAATAAAGAGATCATCAGTTTGAAACCAAACAAAAATTCCTGCAATCTTAGTTATTTAAAGTTCAAGTGTTAAAATTGGCTCAAACAAAAAGAATGCTGCCATTTCTTGTTACAGAATCCTATAAAAATAGAGAAGAGGAAAGGAGACAGTACAGTTATGGGATTTATCATGTCTGCTGGTGTCACCAAATTGGATGAGGGTTGGCAGAAAGCCCTCTGAGTTCAGTAAGTGCCAGATTTAGAGCTAATTCAACAGGAAAATGTGAGACTTACAAAAATCAACATTTTTCAGATATGCATGATATGTAGCATTCAGCATTGGAAGTCAAAAATGCATTTGCTGAAAATTCACTTAGATACAGATTTAGAAAACCTGTGACCAAATTGTGTGCTTGACTACCACTCATTCAAAAAAGTGCTAGACTTTTTTTGATAAATGTATACAAATATATTTTCTCTCCTACTGATTTAATATGTAAAATTAACTTTTGAGTTAATTGTTTACAGACCTTAAGTTTCATGCCTGGAGCAAATTATTACAGCAGATGTGAATTTTAGACGGAAGAAAATGTGATCATGACACTGATAAGAGCTTTCATTAAAGTAATTTGCTTAAACAATACAGAGAAATTGCAAGAGTTGGGGTGTGTTTGCACTTAAGTGAATTATTTGCAAGTGAGAAATCACACAGATTTATAATCACACAAAATAACTTTAAACTGTAAGATTACAAAATATTTTAGATTAAAAAGCACCTTAATGAAAACCAAAACACTCTAGCTGGGAGTCACAGTATATTTAGCTGCCCCCCCATCACTGTGCAATAACCCTTCCCAACTTCTCAGAGAGCTGTTTACTCATAAGCCCACTGCTCCAAGAAAGATATATCTGTTTTGCAGCCCACAGGTGAAGAAATGTTGCAGGCTGGGCTTGCCTACCATTTGATGTCATACTTTATGGCACGCCAGTCCTTCAACAAGGAAGATGGGAATTAGGGCAGAAAGTGCAGAGTGCTCACACATAAAGAAAATAAAAAGGGAGTAAGAGGGAAAATGGAGAAAAGGAAGTTTTCTGAATGCAGTAGATCTAAGGGGACCCTGTAACTATCCCATCAACACTGTGCAAGGAGACATCTCCTCCCAAGGAAAGGAATCAGGTGGCAGTGACCCGAGCCAGAAGAGGCCAACAAGAAGCTGTAAGTGCAAATGAGGTAAGGCAGCAATTGCATACTGACTGTTGTGGTAGGTGTTGTTTCCCAAGCAGTCTTCTAATGTGTTAGACATTTTCAGAAGCCGGAATAGGCTTAAGACAAGTGGTGTAATTGTTTCTTATTATGTTTTCCATTCATTAATTTTTTTTTCCTAGATTGTTTTCCAAACACAGAATCTTTTATTGGTACTACTATCATTGCCTGTTTCTGCAAGAATGTGACCTACACCTCCAAATCTCACCATTGTCAAGCAGGGTAAGTTTCTGCAATAGTCTCTTTTTCCTCAATCAAGGCATCATGGTATTTCAACTTGTTATTAACTTCATCTTAAACTAATTGAGTCCTTTTGTGAACATTCTTCAGACACTTCATACTGAGTCTGACAATACACTTCAACATGTCCCAGCCTATACACTTATCAACACTTCCATTTTAAGGCGCCTTGGCTGAAGTCACACAGATTGCTAACTCAATCCTCATTACTAAACAGAGTTTTGAAAGAAAGCTCTTCCCAGTAGTCACCTCTCATCTGCAGGTGTTTTTTTTCCTTTGGAAAAAATTACCTTTTCCACAATTACTCTCTCTCTGTTAAAAATTATTCCAAGCAGCTAAATGAGAAGGGAAAACTCACAAAACACTAATGAGAGAGGCAGGAAAAGATAAGCTCTGGAAACCTTCTAGAAGCAAGTCTGGGAACTTATGAAAGTGTCTGACATGGGTAAACAGCTGAAGAAAACATGGGAGAGGTGGGTTCTTTTTTGTGAGTTTGTTGGGGAGGTTGGAGGTGGTTTCTATTTTGTTTGCTTTTTCCTGCATCTGCATCTTGTTCATGCAGAGGACACACTGTGGGGAGACACAGAAAACTGCTCCTGCTCACTGCCTAGCCTTCCAGAGACCTAGGCTGTGACTTCCCAGAGCTCAAATTTCACATGGGTGAGGTAATTTTAGGTGTAGACACACAATAAATCAGTGTGTGCTTAAGAGTTCCTCTGTGAGTTGAGATGTCCGTGCCAGTGCAGCCTCTGTCACTCAGCCTCACGGACCAGATATTCAACCTGCTGGTTCCTTTATGTACTTGTGAAGTTGCACTAACTAATTACAGGTTAATTATACCTGCCCACATCCAGCAGTGCAAACACTTGCACCCACCCTTCACTTGCTCTTCAACACTACCAGTACACAAGTGGGAGACCTGGCACTCAAACATTCACGAGACAATCCCCACACATAATACCACATGTTTGCACAGGTGTGGAGTCAGTCAAATCTGTAGCCATATGCACATGAAGGAACAGTTTTGTACACAAACAGCTTCAAAGACCAAGAAAAGGCTTGGATTCAAATACAGTCCTTACTACTTCAGCAGTAACATAATTTCATTTACTTACATAGACTTAATTGATGGCATAGCCTGGGAATGGAAAGACATAAAACAGTTGCAAAGTATTTTAAAAGGTCATATAATGCATGCTGTCTAGAAACAGTAATGTGCATTTTGTATTACAAAGCTTTCTGAATTTTTTCATCTCTCCATACACTTTGGGACTAAATAAACTCATGAGTCCATTATATCTACTTATAACAGCCCACTTAAAACAGTGAAAAAAATCACTCTGAAGCTGAGACAAGTCAAGACAGTGCTCACCTCTTACAGATTTACCAGGTATAGACCCTATGAGCTCTGGTTACTGTGTATGTTTTCTTCACTCTGCCTAGAAACAAGCAATACTGTTCAGAATAGTAGTATTTTGGGTCTACAGATAAGTCTTCTTGAAAGCAAATAATGTGTTTTTAGGGCCATATAACAGCTCCAAGTAGAAGTTATTTTTCAAAAAGGATCTCAGTTGCAGTCATACGTCTGCCTTGTTGTAAAACCCAGACCTACCAAACCCAAGCTCCACATCTAAAAAGCCTTGCATTTCTGTAGAAAATAGAGGTGAGGGTCCAGATGACAATGGAATGCAGACTCTGATATCATAGCATCATAGTTCTCTTTTATCTCTACTTCAAAAAAGTTTCCCTGCATTTTTGTAACCAGTCAGCAGGTTCTAGCCTATGTGGAAGGTGTACTTCTGCCAAAAAAAAATCAAAAAAAACCCTCAAAACCAAAAGTATCTCAGCTCTGTTCTCCCACTGCTTGTTCAGCTGCAAACATAGCCCCAGTAATTTTGAGGAGAAACCCCTGCTAGAGGGGAAAAATTCCACTGTAAGTGATCACTTGACACACTTCAGTGGAAAGGGGTGTGTGTGTGTGTGTTTGTGTGTGTGTGTGTGTGTGTGTGTTCATTTCACATTCACATGCATGTGATTCTGTGAGAAGCTTCTAGAAACATCCCCTATGCCTGATAGAGCCAATGCCAGCTGGGGGAAGAAAAGACTGAGGGACTAGCAAACTGTTTGTTGCTTGCTAGGTACAGTACAGCTCATAAATTGCCAAGAACTCACATAAAATATCCTCAGATACAGAATGCACACGAATGGAAAGGGATCATTGTAGAGATTCCTTTAAATAAAAGACAGACACATGCACACTAAAAAGTCTTCAAGTTATCCTCAAATTGAGAAAAATATTTTAAGGTAAGGTTCTACATCTTCGCAAAAAAATAATAATAAAAAAAATCATTGAAGAGAAGACTTGGCACAGAGGAAATATACCTATGTAAAGAATAACCTGCTATGTGGAATATCAAAATCAATTAAAAAAATTCTTTGTCTACAAAAAAAAAAGAGCAAAAAAAGCACGTGAGGAAGTAACGTCATATATATATATATATATACATGTATATATAAAGATACATAAAGAAGGTGGTGCTGAGATTAAGGCAAATCTACAGATGGCCTTGATGATACCTTGTCTTCAGTTTCAAAAGAAGTAAGAATAACTGGGCCAAGGGTCCCCTTCAAACAAATAAGAAAAACTACATCTGTAAACATCTCTTTTGTACCATCTACCCAAAGGCCAGACAAGACATTTTGTCAACGTGAAAAAGGACTATTACTATCCAGTATAGCTTTGCATGAAAAAAAAAAATCACTTTATGAAGACATAACTTAATGATCCAAAATCCTTCAACAAGGTCTGGGAATGAAGATTGTATTTCAATGCAATTGGCACTAAAGGGAGATGAAGAAAGCAAATTTAGGTCTCATAGGTTAAAAAGAAAGAATAAAGACACAGCACATTATTCAGACAAATGATAGTACCTTGGAAGATATTGAGATATTGAAACATGACTTTAAACAATCAATTTGTGCATGCTTAAAGATGAGGGGAAACAGACAATTTTCTCAAGACCAAATTATGTTAGATTAGTTTAAAATCCTTCTTTTACAGGGTTTTATTGACCCATCAGATGAAGGTTTTAAAGACATGAGATAACTCGACTTTAGTAAGACTTTTGACACTCCTTTTATATAATCTATGGGAAAATTTGAAACATATGGCCTGTAATAAATTAATATAAGATATTTGTAAAGCTGATCTAAGAAAATATCTAAAGATAAATACAAGTAATTCAAGGCACAGTAGAAATATATCCATGTAAGTACATGTAAGTACGTGTATGAAAATAGTTTTGTTTATTAGACCTGGAAGAATTTTTGTTTTGCCAAAGTATGCTGTTTTTGTAAATCCAAATTTTTTTTTGTGAAGACACAATCGGACAGATACTTGTGTCAGAACTAGAGAGGGAAAAGATGATTATGAAAGAAACTATAGCTTTGTAGCTACAGTGTGAGATACAAGATAGAAGAATCAAGTTAGATTTACTTGGCATAATGTGGAAAGAGCTGGGATTTTTAATAATCAAACAGCCCCAGGATCTGAAACATCAAGCTGCAGGGTAAAAGTTACAGTTAGAAGCATCAAAGAGATACAGCAATTGGAAGGAGTTTGGCCTATAAGAAGCAAAATGTAGGAACTTCTAAAAATTGTCTAAATTTAAATTATATATTTGTGATCAGTACTTTGCGGAAACCTTTCTAGAGGAAAAAACTCTTTCCTCCTTAGAAGTTTCAAACCAACATTTCTTGCCTCCAGTTACCTCTGTCTAGTCCCATTTTGAATTCCAAAAAGCATTTGACTGAATAAGATAGGAGAGACATATTATATGTCTGAACAACTTGGCAAAGGGTTTGCAGGTAATTGACATGTTTTACTAGCTAAGATGCTCTGGCCATGTTCCCAGTCATCAGACCCCATGGCATAAACAGTAATATCATTAGTGCTCAGGTTTAACATCAGCTGATTTTTGAACTCCTCTTTTTCTAAGAGTAAAAAAAATTGCCTGATCTGTGTAGCATGGAAGAGTGACACTTTAATTCTGCTATTTTTCATTTCATTGTCTTTTGCCTTTTTTTTTTCCCCCACAAATGGCTGACCTGTAAATGGTGATTACATAACTTCTTTAACAACTTCAGTGGATTTCTAGGTTTACTCATTGCTTTCATGTGTTTCATGTGTACTTCAGGTGTTCCAGACATAAACCCCCTGAGATCTATTTTTCCCTTTTTTCTTTTCTGTGTCATAAGTATTAGTTGGGGATATAAAAATCAACCTAATACGCATCTACAAGTTACATGTGTGGTTCTACTTTCTACTGTCTATGGCAATTGTTTCTTCAGTGGGTTTTTTTCCCCATATATCTCCTGATAACAAATTTCAGCATTTAGTTCTTCTGTCCTGTTATGCTAACTGTGATTTTTATGCACTGTTCAGAAACTCTGGTTGCAAGGCTATTAGAAAAAACTAAGAAAATCATCAGGTTCAATACAAACAAACCCCCGAGCTGGTTACTTTGGATATTTTTTTCCTTGTCCTACTGGTTCCATAGCCAGAAGTTATTCTGTGATAACACTTTCTTCTGACTTAGAAACCCACATTCCTCTGTCACCTTTAGACCTGAGCAGTGTAATAGAATAATTTTCTCTCCATAGAGAATCTTGCACTAGGGACTCCAACAAATCCTCTACAGTCTGAAGCAGCAGCACAGACTAGTCATGTTTCTTTAGGTATAGCCAGAGTTCATGCTGTACCTGTCCTGCACAATACATAAAAACCTTCCTGGTCAGTCTGAGTTTAGAAACTTCAGTTTCCCCCAGAGTGACTTTCACAATCTCATTTGCTTTGGCAAACAGGAAATCATTGTTTTGTTTTGTTTTGTTTTGTTTTTGTTTTGTGTCCAACTCACTGCCCTTTGAATACTTGTTTCTGAATAATAGGTGAGATTGAACCCTCAGCTTGAGATGGACTTGATGCCTTAGGGGTAAGGTGGATGCAGATTGCCAGACCCTTCCTCAGACATGACTGGCCTGTCCATTCAGTTCTTATATAAGCAAGACTGGTAACACTGCTGTCTTCTTCTGACATGCTCATATAAGTAGAAGCAGTGGTGTCTTTGGGGAGTCTCCTCTGGAAGGCTGCTTTGGATCAAGTCCTACAAGGGATGTGGCAGAGGAGCATGTAGTGTGAAGATACCAATCAAGCTTTGGTGCTGAGTCTGCAATCTCAGACTGTCAGCACTGGAACACTGTTAGCATCTGCAGGGGCAAATCTCTAATGCTAATCTCTTGAGGAACATTAAACAGGGAAGTGACAAAGGTGATTAAGAGCTGCCCACCTATATTTTATGACACATTCACTGTTATGACCCAACTGTGTTGCCTGTGGCCCTTGGTAGCTAAACACAATACAAAACTAGTCTCCAAGAGAGGGAGGAGTGGTTGCTTGCAGTATTTGCAGATTGCTTGATACATGCCCTCAGAACAATCACAGGTTATAATATCAAATGGGGGAAATAGTGCACAGGAGGGCAGGTCTGCACCTCTAAGGAGTCTTAAATATGCTACAGAAATTGATCAGTAGGAATATCATGAAATTCTACAATGGGAAAAGCAAAGACCTGCTGGACAGAAATAATCTGGTATGACAGCAGTCTGGGGACAGGCAGCTTGTAAAGCAGCTTTGTAGAAAAGGCTCTCAGGGTCCTAGTGGACAACAAGTTGACCACCAATGCATCCTTATTGCAAAGGCAGCCAACAGCACTCTGAGCTGCATTAAGATCTTCACCAGCAAATGAAGTGATCCTTCCCCTTTACTGTGCACTGGAAAAAGATATCTGGAATCCTGGGTCCAGTTCTGGCTCTCCAGTACAAATGTGATGTGGACAAACTGGATGGACCATCTGATATATGAAGAGACATTGAGAGTTTAGACTGGGGAAGGGAAGGCTCTGATGGATCTGATCTATGTGTATGAGCACTCAGTGTGGGGTGCTGAAGAAGATGGAGAAATATTCTTTCCAGTATGAATTCTATTTCCTACCAATGAAAGGTAAAGAGGCAGTTGGCACAAATTAAAATACAAGAAATTCCATTTAAACAGAAGATAAAAACCTTTTTTACTATGCACGTTATCAACCACTAGGACAGATTGCCAAGAAAGGTTCTTGAAAACCTGACTGGACATGGCCTGAGGAACCTGGTCTAGGTGATCTTACTCTGAGCAAAGGGTTTGAATAGACTATCTCCAGAGGAGACTTACAACTTCAGCTATTCTCTGATTTATTTGGAGCTTCTCAGTGAAAAAAAAAAAAAAAAAGTTCTTCAGAATTATTTTCTATCTGTTTTCTTGTCTTTTTTCAGTAGAAAATTTCAATACTGTGTACTAAAATAATTCAAGTTGACTTTTTAAACATGAAAAGGCTCGAGATCCATATGCAAGAGTTTATTTGTTCTCTCTTCAGTCAAGGAAAGAAAGATCCATAATTTCAAGCATATCTAACACTGTGTCATTTTCATAACTGGAATGTAAAATTTTTGTGATCCACAGGTTTACTGAAACGCCACAAATTTTACCCCTACTGCATGCACTTAGAATGAAAAGGTGATACCAAAATTTTGTAAATAAGCCACAGATAGCTTAAAATGTATGTACTTAAAGCACTCTCACCACTCTTGTCAATAAATACAGCTACATGTGTTCTAATACAGACAACAAGGGCTGCACAACAGTCAGACCACCAGACAGGGAATCACTGGGATTTCTGCTAGTGGAGCAGAAAGCTTCCAAAACAGGGTGATGTTGTACACATTTCCTACTGGGAACAGCTTCTGGTGTATTCTGACTTCAAACAAAGGGAACTGTACAGGGAAAGGGCTAACTGGAAGAGGACAGATTTGTGTCACTGAAGAATTTAGTGTTACATGCACAAGTGATATCATTTTAATGCAGGGAAGATTTTTCTAGGCACACTAAAACCTATTAGTGTAGATTGCTCTGTCTTGAGTTCACTAGCATCAGCAACAACCTGCTAACTACCTGTATTCAGGAAAAAAAAAAAAAGAAGAGAATTTCAGTATCTTCTACTCAGTTTTCCTCTTTGAAATAAAAAACCCAGGTAGGCTCAGTGTCTACCTCTCATTGCCTGTACCTAGTGAAAAGCACCAAAAACTTGGATATATAAAGGAATATTTGTTATCTTCATTTTCAGAACAACAAGAGTTGACCTCTTTTCTGCTGAGATCAAGCCAGGATTTTCTGAGCTAAAATATATCAAGACAGTATGGAAAGTGCAGAGTAGTCCTGTGGGCCAGACAGGAACTTTGTTATTTTAGTGCCTGAACAAGGAATCAAGAGCTTTCATAGCACAGCTCTTTTGTAAAGATAACAACTGAGATGACAATGCATAGCAGTTCCCACTGCTCCCAGTTCCAGGAGAGCTTCATTGTTCTGGAGGAATGCTGCATAGCTTCAGAATGAAATAAAAAACTGATAATACACAAGGACGCTAAAAGACATTGTTTGGGAGCAGGTATGAAGGGGAAGATTGTGTGCAGTAAGACTTTGCCTGCTTGTCATTCTTGTGGCAGAACAGTAAGTAGTGAATAAAGTATGGTAAGTAAAGGGGTATCAGGTTCTGCTGAGGAGAGCAGAAGGTGCAATTTCTGCATGAAGAACCTTAGGCATGCTGGAGTCTCATTAGAACCACAGAGTTGAAGGTTTCAAGCTACCTGGAAGCACTCACCTCAAAAGTGAGAGGCATGTCTTCTGCTTCACCTCTTTCAAAGAGACATTGAGCCGTTCTCTGCCTCCCTGACGGCTGTGCAAAAAAATGATAAGCACTTGGTTGTACCATGGTGTAATTTTTTCACTCCTTTCTGATGAAGCTGTTTTACTGTATAAAAATCACCTACATAGGAAGGGTGCAGGCTAGAAACTGATCTGAGCACAGGGTAGGAAGGTCTAAGGCAGACAAGTTAGAGTAGACCTCATGTCTAAAGCTAGATATGGGGGTCCCTAATGCAAGCAAACTTCAGGCCCCCAAAACTGGTACTTACTGCAAAGAAATATTCTGTCAGAGCTGCCATATTCACTGATCACTCTTCCACTGAAATCCACTGAAACTGTGTCTGACAGAAACAGGAAGTAATTAATTTATTAGGAAACAGAACAATTTTTCTGTGACACTTTGTCTTCTCACTTCTCTCATGAAAAATCCCTAAAATCTTGTTATTTTCTAAACACCATAGTACCCGTATTTGAAAAAAACATGGCGCTTTGTCGTGTGAATATTATAGACAGAGAAGACTAATTTCACAGAATTTTCTTCTGCTAGTTATTGAGGAATGTGTAGCTCCAGGCACCAGCTTTCTAGGATGGGATAGATCTGTTATCTCTAATGCCACAGCATGACTTTAAGGTTTGCCTGAGTCAATAAAATCAGTGTTCTAAAGGCCAGGAAATAAAATCTTTATGGGACGGCATCAGCTCCATCATCTTCCACAACACAAAACTGACATTTGATAAAGCGATTTCTTAACCCTGAGAAGGTTAATGGTTGTAAAAAGAAACACTATTAAAAGTATGTTAAAAGATCCCTGTGTTAATCAGTACCAAAAAATGTCGATTAAAACCATGTTCTACAACCCAATATGCCCTCCAGTATTTGAACTATTTGTTTACATCTTATGTCTGTCTGAACAATAAAACCACTTTTCTTCCAATTCTATTTAGTGTTGATTTTTATCTTCCTGTCTCTCACCGGGAACTCAGCATAGTTATCTTTGGTTTCACTGCTCTGCATGAGATGCTTAAACGGAAAGCCACAATATTTTTATTGAAACTTTTCATAAAACCAGTAATGAAATGTCTTCTGCCCTAAGCAGTTTTTTAGGCCACCATGCTACAACATTTCCAGGTAAAACCCTATGACGGCACCAACTGTTGGAATGATTTTTATAGATTTGATATTTATAGAGTCTCTCTATAATTTACTTTGTATGTATGACTACAAAATGTAGCAGCCAGTGTACTGATCAGCTGGAGCTTGGGCCTTAAATGAGTTAGTCAAATTCTTCCAAGTTTGAAGTTACTATTTCTTTTATAAAAATATATTGCATAAATAAAATATAAAATATATTGCATATATTATTTGCATAAAAATATATTGAACAAAGTTGATAGTCATGTCCAAATCATATGGCAGTCATAAAAATAAGTATTGAATGTTACCATATTAATATGCAGATTTATCATAAAATCAGATTTATAATTTAAAAAAAAAATGTTTCTTTTCAGCTTTCAATCGCATAGACAAATAAATACAAAGTAAGGGACTGAGAGTAGAGTGTACTTCATCTGTTCTGCATAACTTACCTCTAAATTGCTTGGTCCCATATGGCAAATATGATTTTGGATCACTGTCTTATCAGGGTGAATTGAGGAAAACAGTCTCACAACAAATAACATAAGTTTCTCTTGTCCAGTCAGAGAACAAACCACTCAACCATTGAACTGTCTGATCTGATTTTAAAGATTAGAATGAAAATATTCCATACTGCTCCAACTGCATGTTTGTGTGTTGCAAGATGAATAGATACAGTTTTGGCATCTAAAATTTTTCCACTGATGGCCAAGAGTTTCCCAATGGCATCTTAGCTATTTCAATTTTAAAGTCTTTGTTTATACTGAACTTTATTCATGCTCAGTCTAACAAATCAGGCGAGTACTCTGTGCAGGATACATAATTTTGTCTGAACTTTTATACTGTGCATGCAGGAAATGCCCCGTTAGCAAACAATAAAAGAAAGATATTTGGATGTAGAATGAACAATAGGGTAGCTCTGAGAAGTAATTAGGAAAGTTCTATTAGAGTTGGAGGAGAGTTTATAATATGAATATACCGAGAAGAATTAATTGTGAGTTTTTACTTGTTATGATACTCTTCTGAAAGTCAGATATTCCCAAAGGATCAAAGGTCTGCATACATCAGCAACAGTGGTTTTGTTAGATGTGTTTTAATCAACATAATCAGCTAAACCTCTCCAGACTTGAGCCCTCTGGTTGCTATTTCGTATTCAGAATTTGATAATAGCCTCTTCTTGTCCATGTTTTTTCATTGTTTATCACAAATACTCTCTACCACAAGGGAGTTGTTGATTTCTAGGTGCCAAAACTAAAGATTAGTTTGGAAAGCTAACTTATATCAATGAACAGAGCAGAAGTGCAAGGTCCATTTCATTATAAATGAGTTTCAAAAATATGCAGTGCCTTGTCTTATGAGATTTATCCATATAAACTGAACTGAAAAAAATTACTAAAGACTACTGGAACTGATTATCTTGTTATATGAGGATCTTATTGCCTGATTTCTGAGACTTTTTTCAGGGAAAAAAAAAAAGAGAGTTGATCTGTATTATTAACTACCTTCATAAACATATATTAATTTTATATTTGACATTATTTTTTAAAGGTTTATGTACATAAATGAATAGCTAGGAAAGATTTTGTACCAGCTCACATGTCTTTGCCTACCAGTGACACCTACAACAAACTGATTGAACAAATACGGAAAAAGCTGAACATTTTCTTATATTTTGATTTGCACATTAGAGTCTATTCTTCTTTGGACTATGAGTATACATGACTTTAAGCTAAAAAGGTGTTTTAAGCTTTCCAGTTGCAAATAATTAAAGCACCAACTTGCCATTTGCTGTTGTTTTTTTCTCTTGGATTATGCATGAGCTAAGAATTAAAAATATAAATGAAAGTTTTCTCTATCAAATTAAATATTTTGGTTTTTTGGTATCATATTTCTTCTTCTTTTTAGAAACTGAGGGTCCCATTTTGCAGTGGTCTTTCAAGTTATCTGATTTCTAGAGAAAGGTTGCAATTAAAAATATTGTAAGCAAGATAGGCACTCATATTACTTATCTGCTCAAGATAATTTTCAGCAATATTTATGAGTAAAATGTCATAAAATTTAACTTTTGCTAAAACTATATTTCCAATAACATTTTCTGACATATAAAAATGAGAACATTTAAAAAAGCGTATTTCAGTCGTCATAATTTCAGTGATGCTTAAAAAAAAAATTACAAGTTTAGAACAAAAGATTCTTAAAGCAATGACACCTTTTCAATTTGATATATTGCATAAAATCATAATACCAGCACAGCTAAGTGAGAGAAAATTTTGTTTTTCCTGAAATAACTAGCAGAAATTATTTACTAATAAAGACAAAATTTTTATGGTGGGATACATGATAAGATACAAGCTAAGATTCCAGTACAAACACAAATTTTAAATCCTTCTGACTTCAGTGGTATTCTGGTCAAGAGTCACGATTCAGCTGACTCAGGATGATTTGTAAAAATACCATCTTTGGAGATTGCTCCAGAGGCCACAGATTCTAATGCAAGACTCTCACTGATTTCCAAGAAAGAGTAACACAAGACTGGTTAAGCTATTCCATCCATCTTCTCTGTCATTCCAGCAAATTAGAGAAGCTGCCCAGGTCCTGGAGTTGGAGGTAAACTACATTCATCTCTATTGCTTCTGTAGAGTTTATAAGCACTTTGAAATGACAATCAACCTGTGGACCAGTCAGCAACAGATGGTCAGAATTGAAAACTCTATTCTTTAAACATCCTTTCTTCTATTAATCCAGTATCTCTAGCGTCCCCATCAGTAAATAAATGAGGTATTAAATTAATCTCTACCTTATGCATTACCATGTATTACAGAGCTTGTAGTTTAGTTGTTATGGTATGTTAGAGGTTTATTGTACATCTTGGATCTCTGTGCTAAGTCCTGAATTGGGACACAGGCAGTGAAAACATAAAAGCCTGGTTTCCCACGCTCTGCATAAGCTATTGTTATAAAAACAATAAGTTGGCAACACTAATATCTGGAATAAAATAAGCTGGAGTCTTTGAACACCTGCAGAGATATGAGGAGAAAGGAGATCTGTTGATATATTTTTTTTTAATTTTTTTATTTTTTTCTTTTTATTAAAAAGTCTCATGGAACCCTTCTAGTGCTGATTATTATCCTAATCATGCAAATGGTCAGCACCAGGAGGCAACTCATCTTTCTGTACATGTTGCATTTGTGTGAGAAAAAAATTGATAAATTCATATTTCAAAAAGAGCATTTGCATAGATATGTAGCAGGCAAATATAGATTACTTGTGCCATCAATTCTAATATGCCATGTTATATGAGGTAGTTTAGAGCTTACTCATAACAGCTTCCAGCTCCTGGCGAGGAAATGTGAATGGGAATTCATTGTGTACGCTTACTCATGCAATCATTTTCCGTACTGTCTTATCACACTGCCCTTAGCCTCTTTCCACTGGCATTGCATGGCTTCCCATTACTCCATTCCCAATTTCAAGTGATGTGCACTGCAATTACCTAATGCTTTATCGTCTTGTATCACCTGGAGCACAGACAAACAGTAAAATCCTTCACAGAGGATGCAAATTGTGAGTAAAGCTAACTGAGCACTTTCCACAGTGGTTTGCAGGTCTGATAAGAATGCAACACAATAGCAATTTGGGCTGCTTGGCAGGCCATGATGGAGTTACTGTTGAGTATGGAAATACTGATTTTGCATGAAGAAGCTTGTATTATGATAGATAGCTATAATGTATAATTCAGGAGTTAAGCTTATGAAATATGATAGTTGATAGAGAAAAGGTCCCTCTCTCCTAGTGGAGTTCCTTATGAAGTATATAGTTGAGAGAAGCATTCAATATGGTGTCTGCTGATCCACAGCAGGCTCTTCTGCAATCTATAAAAAAAACATCTGCTTAGAGCAGGGGAACCATGTGCAGCTCACTAAGATATAAACTTCTGACCAGAATGTTCAAAGCTCTGTTCAGCCACACTACTCACCATTAATGTTAATCGGAAGTGTATGGTTTTCATATATCCCTTTGAAAATTATATCCCATGAAGTACTTTGAAACAATATATTCCCACAAGCATTGACTCAGAAACCAGTACTTCTGAAGGAAAACTGCAGTTGCCATAATTCTGAGTCAGTGCAACTTAAAAAATGTGGACATTTTTCCCCAAAGTTCCATATGGCTCATGTTTTAGAAAAGAACAATGTTTTATGATTTTAAAAGTCATGCTGATGAGATCTTTATTGTTTTAACAACTCTATAAGAAATAATTTTTCAGCATAAGCTAAAGATAAACCGTATTGATGGAATAAGAATGAATTCTTAAAAAAAAATTCACTGCTTAGAATAAATGAGATTTACTCCCTTTAATTGTAACAGGACATTTTTTATTTTCTGCAGTCAGTGGTACAGATGGTCATTTATTTGCATGGTCTGAAATGTATGAAGCATGTTTATATTTATATATGTTCTAAGAAAGATGTTTCTATATCATTATCTTGAAATTGCTATAAGTTCCATCTCTGTTATAAAATAAAATAAATTAACTCCACCTATCTAGTGTAACAGCAGCAACAATATTTTGTAGTTTGGGTAAATAAATCTTTCACCTTAACTATGACTGAGAAGCGGCTGAAAAAATAAATTTCAGACTTCATATATTTGCTAGAGCTGATTGAAATGGATTTACACAGCGCTCACACGTCAGAAGGGCGGCAACTTCACTGTCTTTATCTGTATCAAACCTGGTTTGCCCAATTCAGAGATGATGGTAAAGCATTGCTGTAAGAGCTGAGTGCTCTATGAAAATTT